CCTGGGCAACTTGGTGAGACCTCATCTCTACAATAAAGCAAAAAATTAGCCAGGTGTGGTTGTGCGTGCTTGTAGTTGCAACTACTTGGAAGGTTGAGGCTGAAGGATCGCCTGAGCCCAGCAGGTCAAGGCTGCGGTGGCTGTGAGTGTGCCACTGCACTCCAGCCTGGGCGACAGACTCTGACTCAAAAACTAACTAAATAAAGTGGGACATAGGTGGTTGTTGTTGTTGTTGTTGTACAGTGTATAGGAGTTAATAATGCATATTTCTAGTTCTCAGAAAAATAATTTCCTCCACCATTTTAAAGATTTTCATGAAAAACAATATGTAGAAGCATAATGATCCACACAATATGTTCATATTTGCAATATAGTTTAGAATCATTCAAGCTTTTTGACTGATATTATATTTCCTTTTTTTTTTGAATTGGAGTCTCACTCCATCACCCAGGCTGGAGTGCAGTGGCACACTCACAGCCACCCCAGCGTCAACCTCCTGAACTCCGGCCAGTGATCCTTTCACCTCAGCCTTCCAAGGAGCTGGAACCACAGGCACGCACTATCACACCCGTCTAATTTTTGATTTATTGTAGAGACGAGGTTCAAGTTGCCCGGGCTGATCTCGAACCTGTGGGTTCAGGCAATCCATTTGCCTCAGCCTCCCAAAGTGCTGGGATGACAGGCTGAGTCACTGAGCCCGGCCTGATATAATATTTCTGCCATGCAATGTCCTTGTGGTAGATTTCATTCCTGCATGCTTCCAAGTGGTGAGAATGTTCACGATTCTTTTGTCCTTCCATGCAGGAAGCGTAAGATTATTTTTCCTATATGCTACGTTTTTGTTAAAAACTTTGGCTCTTTAATTGTGTTGGTATTCCCCTTCAGTCGACTTTGTACCAGTAAGTTGACATTTCATCTTTAATAGCTCTTATACTAGGACACTACTAGTATAATATCTGTCAGTAAATTGGTAGTATCCTGCTGCATTGGCAACTTTTTATATAAATGTAATGGAACTCTGGTGCTTACTGGGAGATCAGGTCGAATGATGTTTTCAGATGTTATGCTGCCATAGTAAGGAAGTACTGAAGAAAGATACCCTGATTTTGAATCAGTGAGCACATAAATATGTATACCCCTTTTGGTAGGCTTATTTGAGTTGTATGTTATAAATGATATTTACCCTTTAAATTGAACAATGGATTTGTCAACACAAATTGCCTGATCTAGCTTGAAAGGTTAAAAAATTTTGAATCGATGTTTTCCAAATAATTACTGGCCTGTTAAAAACAAGTTGTGATCGCCCCATCACTCAACGAAAAATGAAGCATCCAGAAGATTTGCATAAACCTTTCTCTACTGAATGTTTCCAAAAAGAAGAGTATTTTACTATTGAAAGCAGTTGACTGGTACCCTTGCAAATTTAGTACTTGAATTATTCCCATATGTAGGATAACTGCAGTAAAAGCTAAAAATTCTTGTTGGTCAATGTCATGCTACTTATGCCAAATTGATTTGTGTGATAGCTGTTTTTTCCTTCTTTTTGAATCCACGTAATGACTTGTTTCTTTTTTTACACTAACTTCATTTGTCAAATACAGAGTGAAATAGTCAGTTGCTCTGACTATTTCAAATGAAGTCACTAACTTCATTTGTCAAATACAGAGTGAAATAGTCAGTTGGTTCTCTTATATCAGTTGCTATTTGTAGTCCTGTTGTTTGAGGATATGTCACAAAATTTATTCTCACTGGAGGATCATCTTTTTCTGTAACATCTTCCCATTCTTCACGTGACGATCAGCTGTCTTCTATTTCTTTGAAAGTAAACACTTTCATCGCTTCACCGCTATCACTTTCTGTTATATTCGCCCATTTTCTTCTTGGTGGGATGATAATGCTGTCACTACTGTTGTTTTCTTCCATGTCAGTGTTTATTTTTTCTAACATCTGTAGAAGTGTAAGTCTAACTTATCTCGCTGCTGCTTATATTGTAACTCCTACTTTTGTCTTTTCCTTTCACCGTTGTTCTTGAAACTAAATACATAGATAAAAAAATTTATAATCGTAAATTACAAACTCACAAAAAGAAATTTATCAAAAGAATATTACTTTTGCAATTTTACTTTTCTGACTTAGTGCAGAGAGATATATTCAATCTGTGCTGCTTGATACTTTGATACAATCTGCCTTTGACTTTGAAAGCCTTTTTCTTAGAGAAAGAAGTAGGCTGGACGCAGTGACTCACACCTGTAATCCCAGCACCTCAGGAGGATTGCTTGAGGCCAGGAGTTAGAGACCAACCTGGGCAAAAATTAATCAAGCATGGTGGTGTGCACCTGTAGTCCCAACTACTTGGGAGGCTGAGGCAAGAGTATTCCTTGAGTGTAGGAGTTCACGGCTTCAGTGAGCTATGATCACACCACTCCAGCCTGGGTGGCAGAACAAGATCCTGTTGGACATTTCAACTCTTATACCCAACAAAGGGTATTTATCTAGAATAGATAAAGAATGCTTATAAGGTAAGAAAGAAATAGCAATCCATAGAAAATGAGCGAATGACTTGTAAATTATACAAAAAAGAATATCTAAATAATCAATAAACTTAATAAAACATGAGAAAAAATAAAGTCCTTTTCTTTAAGCCTTTAATAACTAGCTTGTCTATCTTCAAGTTATGGCAGATGATACAAAGGATAGACCTACAGCTACCTTTCTTATACAAACACTCTTTATTGCTATCTTCTGTTACAAACAAGTGTTGGCAACACTATGAAAGCAGTTCACACTGGGCATGGTGGCTCATGCCTGTAATTCCAGCACTTTGGGAAGCAGAGGCAAGAGGATTGCCTGAGCCCACGGGTTCAAGACCAGCCTTGGCAACTTGGTGAGACCTCTTCTCTACCATAAATCAAAAAATTAGCTGGGCCAGGGTGGCACACGTCTGTAGTCTCAGCTACTGGGGTGGCTGAGGCAGAAGGATCAGAAGGCCAAGGCTATGGTGAGCTATGATTGTGCCACTGCACTCCATCCTGGGCAACAGAGTGAGGCTTTGACTCAAAAAAAATCAAAAAACAAAGAAAGAAAGCACTTCACATGTTTTCTATGTAACGACAACTGTTTTGTGTGTGTGTGTGTGTGTGTGTGTGTGCGTGCGCGCGCGTGTCTCAGTATATATTCCATCTCTTTCTTTGCTTTATTGTGCAATTTGAATGAAAAACTTCAAGGAAACATACATTTTTGAAAAATTTGCACTAGCATATGTCTGGCTTATATAATCACCAGTAGTCTTTTTATGTCCCCTGAGAGGGAACATCCGAGTGGCTTGCTAGATTTGTGGTATCCCCTGAGAGGGAACATCCAAGTGGTTTGCTAGATTTATGGTGTCCCTTCAGAGAAGACATCTGAGTGCAAAGGGTTAGATTTAATTAGAACAAATTACGATACCTTCAGTTTTCTTTAGCATAACTCTGACTTTAGAGATGATATATATTAATTTTGTATATCATATTTTAATTTCACTTTTTCTGACTTTTTTATAACACGTTTGTGTAAAGCTTAGGGACTGTGGCAGTGGTATGGCATACTAGAAAGTAATTTCTTTTGGTTTGTTTTTGGTGTTATTGTTGTTTGCTTCAGAAATAATTATAAAAAGCTGTTTAGAAACAGTCCTAAGAAGCTTCAGTCCTGGAATGAGACTGAATCTTACACGTACACTCCCAGATAATATGCTAAGTGGTTTGAGACAAATAACTTAGTGTACATATTCAGTCCAAAACTGTGAGAAGACATTCCTGTTCACTCACATAATTGTAATATTATTGTAATACATCAATAAGAAAAATGAATTTTGGGTGAAGGAAAGGGAAAAGACTTTGAAAAAAGTGAAGTGTTGGATACACCTGAAATTCTGTCTTACCTACCAAGGGTTCATTCAACTCATGTGAATACTAAGCCCATATTTTATGAGTTAAATTTTGGAAGTAAAATAAATTCTGCTCTACATATTAAATTTTTTATTAAAGTTAAGTTACAATATGTTTTGGGATTTTTTTTCTCCTAGGCATGGAACAAGGCAGTTGTAAGAAATATGTATATCTGAATAAATATTTGGGGGATGTTAAAAATATTAAAGTGGTCTATGGACCTGCAGCTCGATTGAGACCCTCTGATGTCCCAGATAAATACTATTCATGTAAGTATATCTCTAAGATAACTTTGAATGTGGTCATATTAAGAATACATTCCAGCTGGGCACAGTCTCCCAAAGTGCTGAGAGACCAAGATGGGAGGATTGCATAAGCCCAGGAGTTCAAGACTATCCTGGGTAAAATAGCGAGACATCCCCTCTACAGAAGAATCAGAAAACTAGCTAGGCATGGTAGTGTGCACTTGTAGTCCCAGCTATTCAGGAGGCTGAGGAAGAAGGATTGCCTGAGCCCAGGTTAGTGCTGCAGTGAGCCTTTATCATGCCATAGCACTTCAGTTTGGGCAACAGAGTTGAGACCCCTCCGCAAAAGAATACTTTCCTCTAAATCATTATTTTCTTTTCTTGATTAAATCTCCAGTGCAGATCTTCTGTACCCAAAGGGTTTTTATGGGACTGGATATGAGGACACAAGTCTAACCACTAATCTGTTTTTCGGTGGGCTTAGTGCAGTTTTATCTTGTAAAGTGTGTATTTTACTTGTAGCAGGTTAAAGATTGTACTAGAAAATAGATTTAAGAGCAAAATTCATCTACATTTATTCAAGTTTAATGAGACTCCATTAAGATAACTTAGCTTTGGAATAAACTATGTTTTGAGGAAAAATGCTGGCAGAAATGATTAATTCTATAAGCAGTTGATGCTTACCCTCAGAAATGTCTTCCTTAACCATTTAAAAAAAAACAAGAAAGAATGTATCTTCTAAGCAGGGAATAAGAAATTTTACATTCTCTCTTGAGCACAAACTGCCAAGAAACCTTTAAAAATATTAATTGTTTTGCAAGTCCATCCTGTTTCATAACTGTTTCCACCGCCATTGCTACCTCTCTTTTTTGATTGCCATCTATGATAATTTTAGAAATGTAGAGCACATTTTGGTTATCTTTTCGTTACAGTTTTTTGTTACTTTTTGAAACAGAAAAATAAATAACAAGCTTTTCTGACAGTTATCAAAAGTGGCCTACGTTGGGCTCTGCAGTAAGATGTTTCACTAGAGATTGTTGGCTAATTTTTTTTTTTTTTTGAGTTGGAGTCTTACTCTGTCGTCTAGGCTGGAGTGCAGTGGCGTGCTCACTGCCACCTCAGCCTCAACCTGTTGGGGTCAGGTGATCCTTCTGCCTCAGCCTTCCAAGTAGCTGGAACTACAGGCACTCGCCACCACGCCTGGCTCATTTTTTGATTTATTGTGGAGATGAGGTCTTGCCAAGGTGCCCAGGCTGTTCTTAAATCCATGGGCTCAGGCAGTCCTCTCACCTCAGCCTCCCAAAGTGCTGGGATTATAGACATGAGCTACCACACTCAACGATTGTTGATTATTAATGAGGAAAAATAGGTTTATCTGCAGGAAACTGGTTATGCAAATATATTAACAGTGGCACACAGCACAGGATCCGTATCTACAATGACAAGCATTAATTAGTATTTTTTTTAATTTAGAAAAGTAATATATGATTGTTATAAAACCTGTTAAAAAGACTACACAGGCTACAGCGGTTCCTACAGGTGTGTGGATATGAGTGAAGCTTTATCCTCAGCCTTATCTCAGTTAGACCCCCAAGTTTCCCAAATTAATGCAAAAACTATATGTATGTCAGTTTGTGTCTACATACATACAAAAAATGTATATATATTATGTATTCTTTTATCAGGATGATTTTTTCAAACTTATGTAAAGTATGACTAAAGGAAAACTTAGAAAACTCGACAGTTATTGATCTATAGTACAAAGTGCCTTAAGTAAATCCATGGGCTTACTATGCAAATTGTTTTATTTATTTGCTTGTTTATCAGTCAGAGGAACCACAGGCACATGCTACCACTCCTGGCTAATTTTATGATTTATTGTAGAGATTAGGTCTCGCCACAGTGCCCGGGCTGGTCTTGAACTCCTGGACTCAGGCAGTACTGTCACCTCTGCCTCCCAAAGTGCTGGGATTACAGGCATAAGCCACCATGCTCTGCGCCAATTCAGTTTTAAAACTAGTCGACTTGACCTGTCTTCAAAGTTTCCCTATGCCCCTGTTATTTGAAAATTCTGGAATTATCCTTGAATATTGAAATATACAAAGTAAAAAGTAACAATTTTCTACCCTAAGTCCTTCTGTTTCACAACTAAGTTTCTGTTTATAGAAATGACCGCTGTTACGTGTGGGATGTGTCTTCCAAGATATTTGCTGTGCATATTATATAAAAAATACATTAATTTTTTCACAGTGAAATCATACTAGATCTAGATGGATAGATATTTGGGTGGATGGGTTGATAAATGTCTGGGCAGGTAGATGGATAGGCTAAAGAATAGTCAGATGGGTGAATGGAAAGTCAGATGAACAGATGAGTGGTAGATAGATGTTCTGTAACTTGTCTTTTCATTTAACAGTATGACGCTAACCGAGCGTGGTGGCCTATGCCTGTAATCCCAGCACTTTGGGAGGCGGAGGCAAAAGGATTGCCTGAGTCCAGGGGTTTGAGACCAGCCTGGGCAACTTGGCAAGCCCTCATCTCTACAATTAAAAAAAAGAAATAGCAGATAGGATGGCGTGCACTTATAGTTCCTGCTATTTGGGAGGACACTCTACACTTGTATTTTATTTTTATTTTTAGCTGTAGCATACCATCAACTCTTAATTCATATGTTTGTCCCCCTACAGTTAATTATGAAGGCATTGCCAGAAATCTTTCTGTGAGTATCTTTATTTTTCTATTATCTGCTTGATATTGGTTTTGTATACAAGATATTTAGAGAAAAGTTCCAGTATCTGTTCTTGGAATTGAAGGATTAGATTTTTTTAGTATATGGCCCCACATGTAACATGCTCTATAGCTTTTGAAGATCTTTAAGGCCATGTCTCAATAATCTAGGTTTGAGAGTTTGCAAGAAAGTATTTATTGATACTATAAGATGCATTTGGCAGTAGAAGAAATAATTGAAAAAATAAAAGGAAAAGCTTTATAGCTGTGTGAAATACTGTTATCATTATGATACATTTCCTTCTAGTCTTTTTTATGCCTATATTTTCAAATAAGTTTTTGAACTAGTGCTGAGTTATCTATATATATTTTGTTCTTGTTTCCTTTTAAGTCTTGAAGAAAACTTTTACAATCGCAATTACAAGGGTGTTTGAAACAAGATCATCAGTGGTAATTGGAATATAACCTAATAACACAATCTTAAGTGTCCTAGTGACTTTATGCAGTAAATATTATGATTTTCTATAAAAATTTCAGCTAACTTGGAACATTTACCATGTGCGTTATATGATAAATAAGAATGCTTAGTTATTTTTTCTAACTGTGACTTGTTGGGCAGTCTGGTAAAATGTTTGTGAAAAGTAAATTACATGAAATTAGAAAGCCATTTCAAGAGAAGCTTACACTTTAGATAATAGTTTTTCTTTATCTTTTGTAATTTCAGTGCCGAGAACCAAACCAGCACTTCAAGCCTTACCTGAAGCATTTTCTACCGAAGCGTTTGCACTTTGCCAAGAGTGACAGAATTGAGCCCTTGACGTTCTATTTGGACCCTCAATGGCAACTTGCACTGTAAGTTCTGACAATCTCCCAAATAAACTTAGCCTCATCTATTAATAATTCAAGGTGACCATCAGGCCCTTTTCAACATTGTTGTTATGTGGACACTATACAAATATGATTGTCTTCACTCTAACCCAGCATTTCTCAACCGTGGCCCATAGATATTTGAGTTGGATAATTATTGTGGGGAGCAGTCCTGTGTGTTGTGGGATATTTGACAAGGATCCCTGATTCTCCCCACTAGATGAAAGCAAAATTCTCAAATATTTTGCGACAATCAAAAGTGTCTACAGACGTTGCCCAAAGTCCCCTGGGGAGAAGGAATCACCAAGAGTAAGAACCGTTGCTCTGGCCTCTCATATGCATATTGATTACTTCTTATGATCCACACTTACGTGTTACCACTTGGTATTGCATTTCTTCTGTACATTACAGTTGTGTCTAATCATACCTAATCAAAGCCCAGCAAACAGCTGGTTAAAAGCACTTTATAATAACGAGCAACTATCTTCATTATATACAATTCTTTTTTCATTCTCCTTATATGGCACATTATTTGGATAGTTAAGATTGTTGATATCTTCAAACTTGTTTGTTAACTCTTGGTGGTTGCCAAGAAGCTAGTCTTGATTAATATCCCTGTCAAACAAAAGGTAAGCAGTGAACCAAAATTCAGTCAACAGAATTGCACTGTCTCGGCTCTTAGAGAGCTGGGCTTTAAGTGTTTAGAAAAAGAACGTGAAAGGAGGGACAGTTCTTAATCCTCATAGGAGAACTCATATTTTGTGAATATCCAAATAATGTGTTCCAAACATTGTGGGACTATGTCACTGAATTTTTGCAAATAACCAACATGAGAAATTGAAACCAGAGAAGATCACTAAGTCATCAAAAGATACAGCTAGTTAACAATGCAGTCAGGTTCAAAACCACTTCTGTCTTGATGTTAGTGGTTTTTTTCCCCCTCACTATACTGCTTATCGTTGATCAGGTGGTTTTATTTATGTCTATGTCGGTTTAACAAAATACTTATTCTTTATTAGTAAAAATAATGTTGTGATCCTCAATTATATTTTATGAATGGACTTCACATTATTAATTCATGTATGTAAAAATTAGGAATCCCTCAGAAAGAAAATATTGTGGAAGTGGATTTCATGGCTCTGACAATATATTTTCAAATATGCAAGTAAGTAAACCAACCTATTATAATTAAAAATTGGGATTAAGTCTCAAGAAAAAAATGATATATATAGTTTTAGACATAAAAACAGATTGATTATATTCTTGAATGAGAATTAGTGAAGCATGTACTTTTGTAGTGCTTTTATTTAATTTTATATTCATGTTTTATGAATGTGCAACTTGCGCTTCCTAAATTTCTAATAATTATTTTGCATATATTTGTACTCCATTAAGACTATTGCTCTGTAGCCAGTGGTCTAATAGATAAGAAAGTATTATGTTCTGAAAGGAGTATAAGTATTATACTTAAGTTTTTACATTTACTTAGCACTTTAAAATATTTTCAAAATGTACTCACAATAATTATCAAATTTCATCCCTGCAGCATTGTGTGAGGTAGACAGGATAAGGTTTATATCCCATGTCATTGGTTATTAAAGGTGTCTTCATCTATTCTGTTCTGATTGACAAGTCAAGAATGAAGAGAAAAATAGTAAAATGAAGAGAAATATCCTCGATCTCCTTAAATTATATGGGCCACGGGAGTTAAAGGAATATTCCAGAAAGTGCATGATCATTATGACTTTCACTTGCTTAACATAACCAGTTTATGTATATACCATGAAGATAATATATATTTATTAACCAGCTGTGTACACAACTGAAATACACTGATAAACTGATAAACTGAGACTTTTCTTGCTCATCTAGGCCCTCTTTGTTGGCTATGGACCCGGATTCAAGCATGGCATTGAGGTTGACACCTTTGAAAATATTGAAGTCTATAACTTAATGTGTGGTAAGTGTGAATGAGTGACTTTCTTTCCAACTGAGAAGAGAGCTGAAATAGGATTATCAAAAGCAGGTCACATGGTGGGCACCTTTGTCAAGGTGATGGCGGGGCAAGACAGATTTTCACCTGTCTTCCTTCTGACCCAGAGCCACTGAAAAAATGTGGGGGAACTTACCATCTTATGACTTGCCTGTTTTTTTCTTGAGGCTGCACCCTGGTAAAGTAGACACTCGCAAAGGGGTGGTCTGTACATCCCCAGTAGCTGTTACTTTGCTAGATCCTGGGCTTAATATGGCTTTTGAATCAGGGCAGTAATAGAAGCCAGAGAAAAGAGCTTGGAGGCAGCAAAAGGTGAGTGAAGTCCATGGAAACTCTGGTAGCAATAGTAGTTGTCAATGTCAAGGTTGTAGAGATGAAAGAGGACCCCATTAGGAATATTCTTAGTTTACTCTGTACCTTCTGAAGTAGTACTTTTATGGCAGGGTATTGAGTTTTCAATGTTATTTCCTTCTTTTGATAATGATACTGGATATTTGCAAAATCTTTTATATATCTTAACTATAATTCTTTTAGTGGGCACCTATATGCTTTAAATCAGTAAATTTGTCCTAAAGCACTTAAAATAGCACCTGGCATATTTACAATAAGTGCTTTATTCTGTTAGTATTTGCTGTTGTTATTATTAAGAGTATGATTCTTAGACTTAGACAAAACTGGTTTTGAATCCTAGGTCTACTACATTAATGACTTTGAGACTTTGGGTAAAACACTTTGATCACTCATCTACCAAAATAATTGATGATAGTTTATTAAATCATTTTGAGGATTAAATGAGAAAAATATATTAGCACAGTGATTAGCATATAATATGCATTCAACAGATAGTATAGTTACTGTATAATTTAAAATTTAGAAATTTCATAGCAAAGTGTAGCATACATATCAGTATTTAAATTAAGAGCATAGTCATAAATACTCTAAAACCCAGGAGAGTTTTATAGTTTTTAGTTAAAGAGTAAAAGGCTCATCTATATGTGGTTTAAAAAAATTAAAATGATAGCACAAGTCTGCTACTGATTTGGTTTTGTCACTCCTAAGTATCTCTTTACCATTCTTGAAATTTTGCAGATTTACTAAATTTGACACCAGCTCCTAATAACGGAACTCATGGAAGTCTTAACCACCTTCTAAAGAATCCTGTTTACACCCCAAAGCATCCCAAAGAAGTGCATCCCCTGGTACAGTGCCCCTTCACAAGAAACCCCAAAGATAACCTTGGCTGCTCATGTAACCCCTCGGTAAGTATCACTGAGAAATTTAACCCAGTATGTATGGTTTTATAGCACCCTCTGCATAGCATGTGCTATAGAAATACTTAATAATCAAAATCTATGAGTGGAAGAAAACATATTTATTTTTAATACTAGGGATATATGCAGAACTTTTATAATTTATCTTTCTTTTTCCCAGTTTTTGTATCTGCATCTTGATTTTTTTCATGACTTGGTGCTGTGACTTACTTGAGTGTGCTGGTAGGGAGATGTCTAGTTGAGTCCTTGAATTTCCTGAATATGGAATCTGTGCTGTTATCCTAGCAGTGAGGTCTTGAACACATAGCCAATCACAATGTTCCTTCTCTAAAATAAAGTTCAACCTGTTTTAAATTTAGGGAGGTAAAAAAAATTTTTTGTTACAGAATGGATATCTGACACTGTCCTTTTTTGCTTTTATCTTACTATATAGTTGTTGTAAGAAGATAAAAACACTTGATGAGTTTTGAACAAAAGTTGATAACTAATATCCATAAAGATAGCCACTTGGAGAGTGGCTTATTTTATGCTTTCTATGTTGTTTTAGATTTGATTTAGGCTTGAAGAGGACTGTTGGCATATAAATAAGAATTATATTTTAAAAAAGAGTTATAAAACGATTGTATTCTTATTTTTAATTGATTGGTGTTATGCTTATACCAATAATTTTGTCTTTTTACAGCTTCATTCCTTTCCTCCTCAACAAAAAATAACTTTCATTAATACAAGATTATTGTAAATTTAATCTTTGTTCTGTGTTGAATAAATTAAGCTGAGAAGTTGTATGCTACAAAATTAAAACATGTCTCTCTATTCTTGCCAATGGTTTCATATACTTTTTTAGATCTTGCCAATTGAAGATTTTCAGACACAGTTTAATTTGACCATAGCAGAAGGTAAGACATGAGACTCTCAAGCTTAGAAAGGGAAGGCAGGCTTTTCCTCAGCCATATGAGCCACAGTTAATTGGTTTGGGGGCATCATTTGAGAATAACCAATAAAATAAAGGGAGTAATGGAGGGCTACCTGAGGAAACATAGAGATTTCTTTGCTTAACAGCCTAGACTGTTAGTCATAAGGAAAGAAGGGATACTTTTCAGTGGAAATAGCATGTAACAGATTTAGTGGAAGCTGAATCACACTTTATGAATGTAATGGAGTTGCTTTGAAATTTTGAAAATTGTTATTGGTTTATAGTGGAACCTCAGATTTCCACTTAAAATATCTCACCTAGCCGGGCTCGGTGGCTCAGCCTGTAATCCCAGCACTTTGGGAGGCTGAGGTGAGTGGATTGCCTGAGCCCGTGGGTTCAAGACCCGCCTGAGCAACTTGGCGAGACCTCATCTCTACAAAAAAAAAAAAAAAAAATTAGCTGGGCGTGGTATCACGCTCCTGTAGTTCCAGCTACTTGGAAGGCTGGGGCGGAGGAATCGCCGGAGCCCAGCAGGTCAAGGCTGCAGTGGCCGGGAGCAGCCACTGCACTCCAGTCTGGGTGACAGAGTGAGACTCCAACTCAAAAAAAAATCTCACCTGGTTCTTAGTTAATTATAAGATTATAAATTGAATTATTTATCTAAGTTTGTTTCTTCATAACTTTTGAATAAAATTAAGACTGTGTAGACAACTAGTGAAATTTTTCACTTGTGACTCAAATGTTCAGAGTCACTTTGATGCAATCTCTGTTCCTTAAGTTCGTGGGCTCACATTTTTTTTTTTCCTGCTGGAATAAAGAGGTAAAGTCTGCATTAATTCTGACTTTAACTTGTCTATTCAAAGCCTCTGAATGTTTGGATTAGGAAGTCTTTGATAACCCCAGTGTATCGTGATAAGGGATGACACTTTCAGAACTGGGTAGATCTGAGTCGGAATAAGAGCTTAGAAACTACACGTTCATGGAAAAAATATTCCCTCCCACAAAGCGCTGTTTCCTCATCTGCAAAGTGGGCATACACATTTAATTCATAAGGGGTTGTAAAGATTAATTCGATGATGCAGACAAAGCACTCTGCAAAGCACTTGACACTGGAGAAAGGGCAATAAACAATATCTGTATTGTTATTGTTTCATTTAGTTGAGTGTCATACTTTCATTCACGAACTTTTGCTTTCCAAGTACGCATATCACCCAGAAAATTTACTTTCTGAAGTCTGTCCTGAAGAATAAGTAATTAAAATAATGCTAAAGAATTTTTGGTAATTTAAGTTCTAATTAACTGGAATATCTTACAGTTTCATGTCCCCTTGTAATATCTTGATATTACATGGATCTTTCAGTATCTTTATAAACAAAAGTTACAGTGAACCCCATTTGTTTTGTTAATTATTTATGATTCTGTTCCTTATAATTAGCTTTTTTTAATAGTTAAAAATACATTTTCAGCTGGGCATGGTGGCACATGTCTGTAGTCCCAGCTATTCCAGAGGTTGAGGTGGGAGGAAAACTTGAGCTCAGGAGTTTGAGGTTGCAGTGAGCTGTGATCATGCCACTGCAATCCAGCCTGCGTGACAGAGGGAGACCACATCTCTAAAAAGAATAAAAATAGTAACATGAATAAAATAAAAATAAATTTCAGCTTGGCTAAGTGGAAGGAAAGGGTTAGATGAGTGTATCTTAATATATTATCATATATGCACTCTAAATACATTTACATGGTGGTTTCTTTTTCCCCTACAACCCAAGAGAAGATGATTAAGCATGAAAGTTTACCCTATGGAAGACCCAGAGTTCTCCAGAAGAAAAACTCTGCCTGTCTTCTTTCTCAGCACCAGTTTGTGAGTGGATACAGCCATGACATCCTAATGCCACTTTGGACATCCTACACCGTGGACAGAAATGCAAGTATTTGTCACCTCTTTAGCCATGTGTAGTTATTTCAAATTATCATTAAGCAAAACATTGAAAGCATAGTTTCTTACTGTTAATCTTGGCTCGTTGATCAGTTCCCAAATCTGAGGAGTGCTGATCTGGTCCTGCCACTAAACAGCTATGTGATTTTGAGATTCAGAACAGATTTCGTCTGTGAAATGAGGGGACATACCGTAAAGGATTCTCGCTTGCCTCCCCCTACCATTTTAATATTTTATGATTCTGACTTAGACTCTCAGGAAATTAGTCTTACAACCAGTCACAATTATGTATTTCCAAATACTTGAATATAGCTGTTTAAGCACAAGTATTTCCCTTAGCTGTCCAAACCTGGGGGGGCCTCAATGGTGAGGAAAGCCACTAAAACTCAGTGACATCACTGCATATATCGTCTGCAGGAAGACACCCAGCCCAGGGAGAGGCTGAATTCCATTCACCACCAACACCAGAGGAGTTAGGTCTTGAAAGGAGTGAGAGCAAATATCCCAGAATAAGGCCAGTGATGGAAGGAGGACTGATAAACGAGATAGTCCTTGAAGAAAAGGGGAGAGGAGGCGAAATTTAGATCTTACTTGGAACTGAAATTTTTAACTGGCCTGACTAGAGTTTCAGAAACTGAAAGTGACTGGCTAGCTACAGAATGCCTTCAAGGACTGGAAAAAGTGATCTGAGAGAGCACAGTTGGGGGTAACAGTTGGATTTAAAAAATAAAACTGTTGTTCATTCTGAGTGAGATTGCCAAATAAAAAGATAGGGATATGTGTGTGTATACATGTAATTTATGTTTAAAAAAAAAAAAAATATATATATATAAAATACACACATATTCATATACTCATATGAAGTTTCTTGAACTTTGATTTTTTTTTAAATTCTTTTTTTTTTTGAGTCAGAATCTTACTCCGTTGCCCAGGCTGGAGTGTAGTGGCACATTCATGGCCACCCCAGTGTCAACCTGCTGGGCTCTGACGATCCTTCTGCCTCAGCTTTCCAAGTAACCAGGACTACAGGTGTGCACCACCATGCCCAGCTAATTTTTTATTTATTGTAGAGACAAGGTCTCTCCAAGTTGCCTGGGGTGGTCTCAAACCCGTGGGCTCAGGCAATCTACTCGCCTTGGCCTCCCAAAGTGTTGGGATTATAGGCTGGGCCACCACGCCCAGCTGTTTTTTTTTTAATTCTAAAGAGTGACTGCAAACATTTTAAATACTTTCAAAATTTGACTTCATAATATATAGCAGTCATCTTATTTATTTTTGTTTAATACCTTAATTATGGTATTCTTTGATTCCATTTGGATATTTGTTTTCTTATATAACTAAAGCTGCATGTAAATTCACAGTCATCACTGCTCATGAGTGTTTTGTTTTGTTTTGTTTTGTTTCGTTTTTTTGAGTCAGAGTCTCACTCTGTCACCCAGGCTGGAGTGCAGTGGCACGTTCACAGCCACTGCAACCTTGACTTGCTGGGCTCAGGCGATCCTTCTGCTTCCATCTTCCAAGTAACTGGAACTACAAGCATGCGCCACCATGTCTTGCTATTGTGAGGTTTTTTTACTGCTGTTTAGTGACTGTCCTCCCTTCCCCAGAAGCTTTTGGCTATGCGGTTGGGTGTGGAAGACAAATTCAAATCTCTAAAAAGTCATCATTTTATTACATAAAAGCTTAAAATTCCACATCAGTATTCGTTTTATGGAAAACACTGTAAACAAATTAGCACAGTAGAGCACAAAAACATCTACACACAGGTGACAAACAATATCTTTAGTATTGTCAATAATTTTAGCATTTCTTTATAAGAAATGATGACCTATACAAAAGAGATGAACATACTAGTAGAAAAATGGAGAAATGGTAAAGGACATGAACAGAAAACTAGGGCTTCGTAATTTTATTCTGTAGTTCATTTTAACTATTGATATGCAGTTTCCTTTTCTTCTCTGTGCCTAATACCTGATGTTTCCTTTTATTTTGTTCTCTAGGACAGTTTCTTTACAGAAGACTTTTCTAACTGTCTCTACCAGGACTTTCGAATTTCTCTTAGTCCTGTCCATAAATGTTCGTTTTATAAAAATAATGCCAAACTGAGTTATGGGTTCCTCTTCCCACCACGTAAGTTTCTTCCTCCCCTGACTTTCCCTTTCCTAATCTTCTTCTTCTCTTCCTTTTTTTTTTTTCTTGTGTATACATTATAGAGCAATGTATATGGCCTTGTTTATTTATTGTGAATCAGAAATAATGACTGTCAAGGCAAAAATTTTAATCATCTAAAACTTGAATTTTGTAAAACTTTATTTTTGCTCGGAAAGTAGTTGATTTAGTAGAGATACCATAAATAGAACACTCTTCACTTTTCTGCATTTCTTTTAAACAAAATTTGAGAAAACTCTAAAGTTGGAAGGCTTCTTAGGAGATATCACTTTGTTGTTTAAAAAGAAATGTGATTTGTCAGAGAATAAGGTAAAAGTCGAGCCTTAGCTATGCTTGCTTTTTCACTGATGCTGAGCCTCTAGGGAATGGCTTTTTTGAAGCTGTATTCTATTTTTTGAAGTGGCAAATTTGTATGTTAATGAGAAGACATTTTGGGGCCAGCCATCAAAAGCAAAAATCAGAAAGCTCTGGGGGCTCAGGTACCCTTAGCATCCAGTCCAGTCCCCAGGGTGTCTGAAGTCAGAACTTGGTTATTACATTATGAAAATAGACTAGGTCCAGGCCTCAAATTCATACAAAGAAGCCTTGTGTGGCATTTCAAGGCAGACATCCTGTGATGTTTTTTCTGGTTAGTAGGTGTCATTCTGAAGCCAGATTTTCTCTTTTTTCTTTTCACTATGAAAAAGTTTATAGAAAGATTGTCAACTTAATTCTCTTTAGGTGAAATAAGACAGATAAGGTAAAAATCAGTATGTTTAATTTGAGACTCTTGTTATTAAATTTTTTGCTTATTTTGACACATTCATCTTGAAAAATAAAATGTTTACTTATTTATTTATTTACTTACTTTTTTTTTTTTTTTTGAGTCGGAGTCTCACTGTCACCCAGGCTGGAGTGCAGTGACACGCTCATGGCCACCGCAGTCAACCTGCTGGGCTCAGGCAATTACTTTGCCTCAGCCTTCTAGGTAGCTGGAACCACACGTGCGCCCTACCATGCCCAGCTAATTTTTAAAGTTTTTTATAGAGACAAGGTCTCACGTTTCCCAAACTGGTCTCAACCCCTGAGCTCAGGCAATTATCTCGCCTCTGTCTCCCAAAGTGCTGGGATTACAGGCGTGAGCCACTGCACACACCCTAAAATGTTTAACTATTTGATTTTTGTAAGGGCTGGACCAAGTACATTGCATTTTCCCTTGACCCAGTATCTGGAAAAGCTTTACAGGCTTAAGATAATACTCAGCTAATATTTATTTTTTATTTTTACTTTTGAGTTGGAATCTCACTCTTGTTGCCCAGCCTGGAATGCAGTGGCACGCTCACGTCCACTGCAGCCTTGACCTGCTGGGTTCCAGCAATCCTTCTGCCTCAGCCTTCCAAGTAGCTGGAACTACAGATGCACGCCACCATGCCCGGCTAGTTTCTGTGATTTATTGTAGAGACGGGGTCTCACCAAGTTGCCCAGGCTGGTTTCAAACCCGTGGGCTCAGGCAATCTTCTGGCCTCGGCCTCCCAAAGTGCTGGGATTACAGACTGAGCCACTGTGCCTGACCCTCAGCTAATTTTTAAAATGCTCCCTCCACCCCAAGAAATTATAATTTCTAATGCTATCTGTGAAGAATAAAAAAGTTTCCTTTTTTCTTTGTAGAACTAAATAAAAACTCAAGTCAGATATATTCTGAAGCTTTGCTTACTACCAATATAGTGCCAATGTACCAGAGTTTTCAAGGTAAAACATGCTAATTCTATATTTTATAATTTTAATGATTTTCTGTACATGTAGGTATAATTTATATGTAATAAAATGTATGGTCAAATTAAATGAATGAATATCAAATACATTCTTGAATATTCATTTAACTTGGAGAATACTAGTACACAAAAAATTTTACAAATATTATAATATTATATATTCCAATATCTATTGTGCTTTGTATTTAAATGTTAAAAACGTTTTTGGTGAAAAGGTATATGGTGTTCTTCCTAAAGTTATTTAGCTAATACAGTCTACTAACACTTATACTAACTTTAAATTGTTTCTCTATGTAACTATTTGAAAGTTCTTTATCATTATTTTTGTTTTCAAAATGAAAAGATTTTACATAATCATTGCCTATTGCAGCATTTGAATCTTTCAGGAATAAATATACATTTACACTTAAATTGATGTCTAGAATATTAAAATGTAAGCATATAAGGAGATTTCTACTCTAATTTATATTTAGAATACTTGTGAATATTTTAAAGGGAATATTCAGATAGTAATAGTAAATATGAATAATATGCCTTATTTGTGTTTGTGATGCTATATTTAATGATTAGATGTGATCATAAGTTCATCATGATGCACTTATTCAGAGATGCTTAAAATAGAGTTAGAGTCAATATTTGTCTATGAGTTCTTCCAAAGGCCAAAACTGGATTTTTGGCCTCACACTAAGATTGAAGCCAAACTTGACTGTAATTATTACAAATGCAAACTTTGAATCATAGTGTTAATTTATTTCATGACAGCATGGTGATTTTTTTTGAAGTTGCATTGTCTTCCATCTTGTTTCAGTCATATGGGGCTATTTTCATGACACCCTACTGCAAAGGTATGCTGAAGAAAGAAATGGCGTCAACGTCGTCAGCGGTCCTGTCTTTGACTATGATTATGATGGACAGTATGATTCCTCAGAGACTCTAAGGCGGTAAGAACGTATTTCATTTCTCTTAAAAAATAGCTATCAAATGGGATTGCCAGCAGTTGAGTTAGCAGAAACTTTTTTATCCTGTACTGTTCACATTTATGTAGGTGACACTTCTGACTACACTGGAAGCCTCTTGAAATAGCTGATTAATTTTGATGTATTGCTCAAAGTTTAGTAAAATATCTTTTGGGTAAAAGAAGTAGTGTTTCTCTCCTACTAAGTTCACTTGAGTAATTCTTTTTCTTTTTCTATTGGAATAGATATTTTTTTTTTTTATTATAAAGATGTGGGGTACAATTCAGGGTTAGGTATACAAAAGTTGATTATGCAGGTACCCTTGTTGATGAGGTGTGCCCCTCCCACTCCTAACAGTTTCTCTCAACTGCCAATCTCTTCCCCCATTCCCTGACAGTTTCCCACTACTGCCAATTCCTTTCTAATAGTATTTTAATAATTGTTCAAGCTCTGCTTATGAGTGAAAACATATGGTATTCTATTCTTTGTTTCTATGATAGATCACTGAGTATGATTGACTCTAAATCCATCCAAGTTGCTGCAAAGTCCATATGTTTGTCCTACTTTATGGCTGCATAATATTCCATTGTGTATATGTACCACATTTTTTTATACAGTCCAGCTGAGTTCAGCATAAATGCTGAACTCAGTGTTTAAGATCTCTGTGGCTAATTGTTATGATACTATTTTAATATACTGTCAGGAGAATAAACTATGGTATGGCTACAGACATTTTGAGTTGAGGAATGAATGGGATTATATAGCTGTAGTGCTTCAAGTGTAGTGACCTTGGGTGAATGTCAGGGCTTTTACTCAACTCTGACCAGGGGAAAATGATAGAGTGACCATTAGTGGTACTTTTTGTAAGAGGAGAGGGGAAGAACATTTTAGAAACTGGCTAATCTTTATTTTAAAAATTATTACAGCTAGTTGCTGTGGTTCATGCTTGTTATCCCAGGACTTCAGGAGGTGGAGGCAAGGAGATCGCCCGAGTCCAAAGGTTTTAGAACAGCCTGGGCAATATGGCAAAACCGCATCTCTTCAATATGTACAAAAATTAGCTGGGAACAGTGGCGTGCACCTTTAGTTCCAGCTTCTTGGAAGGCTGAGGTGGTAGGAATGCCCAAGTCCAATGTGTCAAGTCTGTGGTAGCCGTGAGCATGCCACTACTTCCACCCTGGGTGACCAAGTGAGACTCTAACTCAAAAATAAATAAATAAGTAATGGAAGCAATTTTACTATTAAGACTTTAAGAAAAAGCCTGAAGTTTCCTCGAGATTCAGCCCTTTTTGAGAACTTTCCTGTTCTCCCAGTCTCACTTAGATATACAGGGGGGGGAGTACCCCCAAACCCAGAATTTATTTATAAAAAATTGTGTATTTATTCTTACATGTTTAAACTTCAGTCACCTTCATAATATTTTCCATTTGATGCAATACACCTATGGAGACACTTTTTCCACTGCTCAGAATAGTTTTTGAACTGGTGGATTTTGATGCCTTTTACTGCTTCTACTGTTTTTTTGTTTCACTCCTCCCACATCAGCAAAATGTTTCCCTTTGAGGACTTTTTTTCATCTGGGGAAACAAAAAGATACACTGGTTTACTGATGCTGATGGATTCCTAGAACACTTCACTTATCTAGTGTTGGAATCCTGTACTACAAGGGGCCCAACCTCCAAAAGATAATTCCAGTTTTTTGGGTGGGTGTCCCCTTGTATGTGACTTACACACATAGATCTCAGTGCACATCAGTTTATAAGATTGCAATTTGTTTTTACTGTATCCCTTGAGGCATAAAGCTGTCACTTAGGCCATAGCACTGGAGTGGATAAAAGAAGAAAACATCATATGCTTAATACCTGCATTTTAACCAGAGCCTTCTGTTTAAATCTGTTTTATATATTATGATTCTACATAAGATCATATTTGAAAACAATTGATCCCACTACCCTAAATTCTGAAAGATGCTGAAAAAATAAACACAACCTTAAAACCAAAGGAAATAAGAGAACTACCATGAGGTAAAGATGCTTGAGACATATTTGATAGTATGTTGCAATTAAATAAATTAAGTGGTTGAGATAGGAAAGAAAATCCAGTTAAAACAAAGAAGAATTCACATGTCTTTTCTGAAGGAGCTGGAATAAAAATTATCTAACCAGTGGTTTCCTGCCCAAAGAACTGTAAGTTGTAGTTTAGAATCTTGGTTGTACGTGTTCAGAAATGAGTTTCTGTCTCACTTTCAGTTTCTTTATGTAGAACGTAAGAAACTTCCAAAATTTAATAACGTTATACAGAAGTTAAAAATTATTTGAACTGTGTTTATGTGACTGTCTTCTAATTATTACCATCAATCTGGAATTATGATTCCTAACTTTTTATATTTAATTATTTGTCTGAATTGGATTCTAGATGTATTGTATTAAAAGCATGCTCTACTGAAATTTTAATTAAAAGGAAGATAGTTGCTTCTTCTTAAAGTGAATGTTGTCCTGTTACAGAAACAGAAGAGTCATCCGTAATCAAGAAATTCTGATTCCAACTCACTTCTTCATTGTACTAACAAGTTGTAAAAATACATCCCAGATTCCCTTGCGCTGTGAAAACTTAGACACCTTAGCTTTCATTTTGCCTCACAGGAGTGATAACAGCGAGAGCTGTGTGGTAAGTAGCTTGTACATATTGAAAATATAAACGTGTATATTTGTGTGTGTGTCTTACATCTGACACTGTAGTGGAAGAAAATACAACTCTTGCATATACAAGGACTTTGAAATTACAGGATGGTTTTAAATTTAATCTTTTAACATGACTTATCTTTGGAGAAGACTACCCCTGTCAAAGACACTAAACATAAGATCAAAGTGCACTTCATATGCCTTTGCCACAAAATTCTAGGTTCGTTTGAAGTGTGGATTTTCTCTTACTTCAAAAGTGGATTTATAATTTCAAAGTGTCAGCCCTTTAAAGTTGTAGTTAGATGACATTTGGAATTTTTTATGTATCACTTAATTACAAAAATCTTATCCTTTTTTATTCTGTTGTCATTCCAGTGTTTGGAAACGTTTGTTTGATATTATGTTATTTGCTCAGAATTTTAAAAATCTAAATAGTAGAGTTGAACATCAAGACTGCATAAAATTTCAGCAATTTTTAAGTGTCTCTTTATGGTGAGCCAAAATGTTTTTTATTCAGAGCAACCCCCCTCATTTCCTATATTTTTCCCCCACTTGAAGTTACACAAGGTATCTCTATACCTAAGTTGGCAAAAAGATTTAGATTCATACCGTCCTAATGGAGGGGTGGTGGTTTCCCGGAGTTCTGTGGTCAAGAGGATCCTGAGAACCCAGGTTGAGCTCAGCAAGAAAGAGTACCGTGTTCACTCAGTCCTCACTTCTTTGATCCAGTCATTCATTCCTTTCTTAGATATTTGTTGTCAGGTGCTCTAGGTACTGAGGACCTGGGGGTTTCTTCCAGGGGCCCAGGAGTGGCATGGAGTGACCCCATTTCCATCCCTGATGGAGTAGTCTTTCTGTGTACCAGTTGTTAAAATTCATGAGGATAGCCGGGCTCGGTGGCTCAGCCTGTAATCCCGCGCCTTTGGGAGGCTGAGGTGAGTGGATTGCCTGAGCCCGCGGGTTCGAGACCCGCCTGGGCAGCGAGACCTCATCTCTGCAATAAATCAAAAAAAATCAGCCGGATGTGGTGGTGCATGCCTGTAGTTCCGGCTACTTGGAAGACTGAGGAGGAAGGATCGCCGGAGCCCAGCAGGTCAAGGCTGTGGTGGCTGGGAGCGGTCACTGCACTCCAGTCTGGGTGACAGAGTGAGATTCCAACTCAAAAAAAAAAAAATTCATGAGGATATGTCTTTCTTTAATTAACTTTCAGAATTATTTGACCACTCCTCATAGAACACATGTCTATTGTTCTTTGTAATTAAATACAAAATAACAGGACTTCAGTTGGCTGCCTGATAAGTATCGAACTCTGCCAAAACAGTGACACTGTGTTGGACACATACCAACTATTTCCTTCCTCATGACTTTCTTTTCTTTGAGAGATTAAATTGTCGTTAAATGTATCTGTTAGACTTGGGTTCTGTAGCAAAGAATAGAAATCCTGTTGCAGTGACTTAAGCAAGTCAGGGGTTCCTTATGGAACAAAAAGTCTAGGTGTACACAGTCTTGGGTCTACAGCAGCATTACGGACCCAAACCTTTTTTTTTTTTTTTTTTGAGTTACAGTCTCACTCTATAGCCCAGACTGGTGTGCAGTGGCATGCTCATGGCTACCTCAGCCTCGACCTGCTGGGCTCAGGTGATCCTTCTGCTTCAGCCTTCCAAGTAGCTGGAACCACAGGCGTGCATGGCTAATTTTTATTTTTTTATTGTAGAGATGAGGTTTTGTCAAGTTGCCCAGACTGGTTTTGAACCCCTGGGCTCAGACAGTCCTCACGCCTCTGCCTCTCAAAGTGTTGGGATTGCAGGCATGAGCCACTGCACCTGGCCCCAGATCTTTCTCACCTTTCTGCCCCACCATTTTAAGCATGTGGCTTTGGTCCACATGGCTAAACATAACTTCTGCTTTTCTGATATCATGTCTCAATTCTAGCCCCAACCCCCAAAAGCAAGGCAGCCACAAGCTCAAGCTTATAACTTATGTACATGAATTGTGCATTGAGTGTGTTTTCCAACTCTACTGTTCCAAAAGCAATTATGCTACTACCTTAAATAAAAACATTTTATCAGATTCTATGATGGCAATGTACCTAAAAGATTCTGAATACTGGACTTGAGCCAGAGAGAGCATTATTTTAAAGTATGCCATGCATACTTACTGATCCCTTCTGTTTCACCTCTAAAGTAGTGACTAAAGATTAGTTGGATATTAGCCCAAGAGAAGGGATATCTTGCATGTTCCTTTTTTTTTTTTTTTTTTTTTGAGTTAGAGTCTCACTCTGTCCCCCAGGCTGGAGTGCAGTGGCATACTCACAGCCACCCTAGCGTCAGCCTGCTGGGTTCCAGTGATCCTTCCACCTCAGCCTTCTAAGTAACTGGAACTGCAGGCGTGCACTACCACACCCAGCTAATTTTTGATTTATTGTAGAGATGAGGTCTCGCCAAGTTGCCCAGGCTGATCTTGAACCCATGGGCTCAGGCAATCTACTTACCTCGGCCTCCCAAAGGGCTAGGATTACAGGCTGAAACACCAAGCCCGGCTTACTTTTAAAATTTTTTCCAGTGAATGTTAGAGCAAATGGCAGTTATCCACTGGTCAAGTAGTCCAGTGAGTTGGACTGGCCCCCTTAAAACCAGAAAGGGAGACCGAGACCGAGTATTATAGTGGATGATTGAAGACTAATGAGAAAATGGAGGTTGTTGATCTGTTTTAGATGTGAGAAGCCTATATTTACTGTTTTCAACTAATAATGTCCCAAGAGTACATGAACTTTTATTGAAGGATGTCTTTATTGGACACTCATATCCCATGAACCAGTGGATACATTCTTCACCTGACCCTTCCCAGTGGCTGTTTCCAGAAAAACTTACCCTAACACATGGATATATGATTTCCATCTCTGTCATCTACTTCAGCTACCACCCCGGCTTCCAATTGCCAGAATATCTGCCCTTAATTCTTTTCTGATCCCATCTGAGACTTTGCTGTCTCACCAGAAATGAAATTGTGATTTGCTACTTCTTCCAATTCTGTGCAGCTATGTAGATACTGCATTCTCATAAGAACTAGTGTTTGTGTAGTACATTTGCGCACATTACATATTACACTTGATCTTCAAAACAACCCTATGAGGAGATAAATAAGGAATCAAGACTCATATGCTAAATAACTTGCCTGAGTTTCCCTGATAGTCATAGAAACAGGACTTGAATCCAAGTTTCTATACATTAATTGCCATATTCTTTCTGTCATGTCATGTGGTTTCTGTTTTCCAATATTTTTTAACTCCACACTATTGAAGTTTCTTGCACCTGTGTAATGAATGACCATCTGTCCCAGGTATGCGTTCTTTTTCCCAAATTAGATACATCTAATTAAATATATATGCGCAGAGTGTATTAGAGAGCTACTCAGGAATGGGGTTCTGCCGAACAAATCTCGTGACATCTGCCACTTCAGAGCCAAAGTGACATAAATGATTAACCTGGGAGATGGAGAGCTTATAGAAGTGAGTCAAGTGTTCTCTGGTGACTTTTCTTTTTGATTTCCCATCCTCTTAGCACGGGAAGCATGAATCCTCATGGGTTGAAGAGTTGTTAATGTTACACAGAGCACGGATCACAGATGTTGAACACATCACTGGACTCAGCTTCTATCAACAAAGAAAAGAGCCAGTTTCAGACATTTTAAAGTTGAAAACACATTTGCCAACCTTTAGCCAAGAAGACTGATATTTTTTTACTCCAGAAGCATACCCTAAATCTTTTTTAGAGAACCATATATTTTATACAACCCCTTCTCCCATCTATTGTTGCAATGTTCACAAACTGTCGACCAGAGTTAGAGCGGAATCCTCTGTGATACGGACATCTCAGGGAAACCTGTGTACTCAGCACACCAGTAGGAGAGTGTCCTGTTGAGTCTTGCACTATTTGAATATGTAAGAATTGTATACATTGTTTAAATTTGAAGAAATAAAGACAGACCGTACCTAAAACTGCTTTTCTACTTCTCTTAAGGGAGAAGTAGCTGTGAATATTGTCTGGACACCAGACATTTGAACCTTATTATTGATAATAAACCTTGATGGCATTGGCACTAGACTTATTAATAGAATTGGGATAGTCCATGTTACATTGTTATCTTTACAATAATTTAAAAGTAGTTCTGTATTTCTTTTAACTTGAAGTTTAATTTCTTTTTGTTTTAATCAAAAAAAAAAAATAATGGAAGCCAAAATACTTGGAGACACTTTTTCTATCTTTCCTGTAAACCCTCTGAGAAGCCAAGTTACCAGTCCCGTGTTATTTTCTTTATTGTGATTGGATTTCTCCAGATTTAATGGCTCAAACAAGTTAAACTTTGAGGGAAGATCTGTGAGTTGAGTATACCTATCTATTATAAAATCTCACTCTACATTTGTACAAAAAAAAGCAAAGTTCCTATCCTGCTCACCGGTAATTCACATAAATTAAAATGGCTTTAAATGTGGTCCTTTGGACTGTTAAAATTGCACTTTATCTTGGTGAAATTTCAGAGAACTTGTCAGCACATGCACAGTGCCATTTTTTATTGAGACGGTAGGAATATTTCTCTCCCCACACAAAAATGTTCTGTGTTGAGTAGTTGATTTTGAATTTCCATAGATGTGAAAGGAACATGTCACCAATCACTTCATATCTTCTCAGTGGACATGATAAGGGGCACAGTGAACTTGATGTCCCCACTTGCATTGACTACACTCTTGCATCCCTACTTGTGAACCTGTGAGGGCTCCATTAACTTTTATGCTACCTGGGTCCAATTTAAGTACAATATTGGTACACCAAAGGTGTTTATATGTGCTCCATATGAGCATTCTTCAACAGCCTAACAACCAGCCACAGGTTCCTTTGGATGATACAATTTACATCTGAAATTCTTTAATAACTTAGAAAGTTTTGTTGGTTTTTGTTTTAGTTTCACAGTTTCCTGAGGCTCTGTATATATATTTTTTTCAATATAATTTTTCTCTGTTGCTCAGAGCGGGTCATTTCTATTACTGTCTTTGAGTTCACTGATTCTTCTATCTAATCTGTACTGCTGCTGAGCCCATTCATGGATTCTAGTTATTGTATTTCTGAAATGTGCATTTGGTTCTTCTTTGTATCTTTTATTTGCTGAAAATTTTTCTCTCTTTGCTGAGACTTTCTGGTTTTTCATTTATTCAAGTGTGTTTGTCATTGTTTGTTGAAGCATTTTTTACGACTGCTGTAAAATCCTTATCGAACAATTCTATATCTGTTCATCTTGGTGTTTGCATCTATTGATGGTCTTTTTTCTGTAAAAAATATTTTTCTGCTTCTTGGTATGATGTATGATTTTTAGTTGAAGCCCGAATATTTTAGGTATGGTGTTTGAGACGACGGAGCTTATTTAAACCTGCGTTAGCTTTCCCTGACCCCACCACAGTGGAGGAATTGGAGGTGCTGCCTCATTATTACCAGATGTACTAGGAGTCCATGTCCTTTACCCAGCCACCATTGACACTTAGGATGTGAGGGACCCCTTGCTCCTGCAGGGTCGCGGAGGAATCACTTTCCATTAGGCCTTGGTTGATGCTTCCCTGGCTGCCATGTGCAGGGCCCTTTTACTGCTTCCTGACATCGCCACTGCTGCTGTGGGACAGGAGTAACTGAGAGGGCTTCAGCATCATCAGGGGAAGAGGGATTAGGTTTCTTGTTCCCTACTCAGCCTTCTCTGACTCCTTCCTGGCAGGACTTGGGGAACCTCTTTACAGCCTGGTGAGGAGGGATAGCTAGGCTTCCCACTCAGCCTTGGCTAGTATGGGTGGGGTCGTGGATTTTTCCGTGGTATTTGGTTGGAGTATAGGGGCTTTTACTTTTTCTAGACTTTCCATTTTCTGGTCATTTGGCTAGAGAGACAGCAGGCCTCTCTTTGGGATTTTTTGGGGGGGGTAAGGAGAGGGATTCTGTATTTCTTGACATTTCCAGGTTGCTACTTCCTTCAGTTCCAAGTCTGAGGTATATGAACTAAAAAGAAAACTCAGGGAACTTGTCACAGTGTTGTTCCTTGGGCTTCAAGGGTCCTAGTCTGTCTACCTTCTCTCCACTGTTCAGTCTTCCTGTCTTTGCCATATATATATATATAATACAAAGCTTTTTTATCTGTACTTAGCAAAGGGAAAGTTATTCCATCTTTGTAGAAGTATCTTGCTGATTTTATATATTTTTCAAAACACGTGCAGATACATGATTTACTCTATTTTTTTTTTTTTTTTTTTTGAGTCGTAGTCTCACTCTGTCACCCAGGCTGGAGTGCAGTGGCATGCTCATGATCACTGCAGCCTCGACCTGCTGAGCTCAGGTGTTCCTTCCAAATAGCTGGAACCACAGGCATGTACCATACCTGGCTAACTTTATGATTTATTGTAGAAACGAGGTCTCGCCATGTTGCTCACACTGGTCTCCAACCCCTTAGCTCAGGCAATCCTCTTGCCTCTGCCTCCTAAAATGCTGGGATTACAGACGTGAGCCACTGTGTTTGACTGATTTACTCTATTTAAAGCATCTTAGCAGAGCTTAATTACATGGATAAGTTGCCTGTTCCCTTTGTTAGACACCAAGCATACAAAGAAGAAGTTATAATTCTGACAGTTTTGGAGAGAGGGAGGAAGCAGCAGAAGTATAAATGATCCCTGAAGTGTGGTAGATGTTATGAGGAAGTCATGATCACAGTGCCAGGCAGCACAAAAGAGACACTGGTTGCTTCTTGGCAGTTTCAGCAGTGGCCTCCCAGCCTTTGGGCTAAGACTTGAAGGATGAATTGGAGGTCTTCAGATATACAGCTAAAGAAGGGCATTTGGCAGGGTGTGGTGGCTAGCGCCTGTAGTCCCAGCTACTCAGGAAACTGAGGTGGGAGGATCACCTGAACCCAGGAGTTTGAGGTTACAGTGAGCTATAATTGCACCATTGTGCTCCAGTCTGGGCAACAGAGCGAGACTCGGTCTCAACAACAACAAAAAAAGTCGGAGGAGGGGAGCATTCTGACATTCCTTGGGTGGATACATTTTTTGGTATTTTCCCATTTACTTCTGATATTTTCTACCACTAGTGTCACTGTGGCCAACCTATGATGTACAAGAACTACATTTTTCTTGCTTTGTTATAATAATCTGCTCTGATGGAAATATCAGACTATAAATGCCATGCTGATTGTTTAAAGGAAGGTGCACCCACATCTGCGTACTTAGCTTTTACTTCATTGCTCTTACACAGTACTCTATTCTCCTTTTCCTTTCACTATTTCATCAGCCATCTTCTTTTTTCTTCTTTCATAATTGAGTTTATTGGTTGTGTTGAGGATCAGTACACAGACAAAAACCAGCCATCTTCTTATCTACACTTCCCCAATTTGAATGGTAAATTCACGTGACCATATATGAAATGTCTTTATTCTACTTGTTCTAATAAAGGCTATTTGCTTTTCAAACATAAAGCGAAACCTTTATTTACCCTGAATTTTACTGCCATGCAAGTCAGTACTTCTTAATTGAGGTAAGTAACTTCCATAGAAAATTTCATCGATGGTTCATTCATGGCAGCACAAAGAACCTGGCAGAATTTTAAAATATTGCCATGAATCAGAGAAAAGAAGACAAAGCTTAGAGGGAAGAAGGCTGATGTCCGTGATCTAGCTGGGGAGAGTTCTGAGCCTGTTAGACCAAGTGCCAAGTCCTGATTAAGGAGATAAGGTAGGTATGAAGCAGAGACCTTCCAGGAGACGCTGTTACCCTCCTTGACTTTATTCTGTCATTAGACACAATAACTGTCCTGCCTGCACTCTGGCTGGTGTTTATCTGTCATAGGAATGGGCATTTGGACTTTGAAACTGAACGTGGTGATTACACTTCATGCTGGAGCTTATCACAGGAGTGTTTCCATGAGCATTAAGTAAAATTTTACCACAGATGTAGTCCAAGGACATTTTCCCTGGTTTGGAGCCAGTCTAAATATTGCAACAGAGAAAAAAAAAAAGAAAAAAGATCTTCTACAGGCTATAGGTGTCTCTAAGCTAAAAAATGTGGAATGGCAAATAAAATGTATACATCTAGAATCTTGGTTGCTTTCCCGTGGAGCTATGTGTGGAGGGTAGGGAAGGCCATGGAGGTGGTGCTTTTCCAGGGACAGGAAACTGAGTCCAAGGGTTGTTGACAGTTACCCACAGCTGTACTGTTGGAAGGTGAAGAAAGAACCAAAGTTCATTTCAGGTCCATAGAGTAAACATTTCTCATCTGTAACCTATGTCCTTATTCTTGGTATTTTAATTACATTTAATCATTCCAGGTAAAACGTGACAGGCAGGGCTAGGCTTAGTGGCTCAACCTGTAATCCCAGCACTTTGGGAGGCCGAGACGAGTGGATTGCCTGAGCCCCCGGGTTCGAGACCAGCCTGGGCAACTTGGTGAGACCTCGTCTCTACAATAAATCAAAAAAATTAGCCGGGCATGGTAGCACACGCCTATAGTTCCGCCTACTTGGAAGGCTGAGGTGGAAGGGTTGCTGGAGCCCAGCAGGTTGACACTGGGGTGGCCATGAGCATGCCACGGCATTCCAGTCTGGGCAGCAGAGTGAGACTCCAACTCAAAAAAAAAAAAAAAAAAAAAGTGACAGGCATATATATCCTTCAAGATTTAGAATGGTCTGAAACCCAACTTGTAATTGACATAGATTCATTCCATGTGAAATTTGTGTATTTATAGATAGGTATATTTTCAATCATTATAGATAGTGATTGAAGATAAAGCTTAATGTTTGCTAGAATTCATGTCCATACCAGAACCCACAGATAAATAAAATATGTCTTAGTCTGCTGGAAAGAAATGTCTTTCATCCCACCCAACACTGTTGTTTTACATTTAACTTTATAAGCCGGGTGCAGTGGCTCACGCCTATCTGTGAGCCTATCTTTGGGAGGCGGAGGCAAGAGGATTGCCTGAGTTCAGGGTTTGGAGACCAGCCTTGGCAACTTGGCAAGACTTCGTCTTTACAATAAATCATAAAATTAGCTGGGTGTGGTGGCTCATGCCTTTAGTTCCAGCTATTTGGAAGGCTAAGGCGGAAGGATCACCTGAGCCCAGTAGGTTGATGTTGTGGTGACCGGGAGCGTGCCACTGCCCTCCAGTCTGAGTGACAGAGTGAGACTCCAACTCAAAAATTAAAAAAACCCCAAAATAAAATAAATGTAACTTTATACTTGCCTATAAATTCTCAATTTCAGGGGACAATTTTAGGATTTTAATAAATGACTAATACTTTCACTTTTTAACTTATTTTAATTTTATTATATATCAGATTCAGAACTCAGAATGTACTTAAGCTTTCATGTATTAGAGATACAACACAAC